TGTCAGCAAGCCCTAGGGCAGCTGTGGCATCTTTCAACGAGCCCCAGGCCAGCCTGGCATCTGTCAGCGTGCCCCAGGGCAGCCTGGCGTCTGTCAGCAAGCCCTAGGGCAGCTGTGGCATCTTTCAACGAGCCCCAGGCCAGCCTGGCATCTGTCAGCGTGCCCCAGGGCAGCCTGGCGTCCGTCAACGACCTTCAGGGCAGCCTGCCGTCTGTCAACAAGCCCCAGGGCAGCCATGGTATCTGTCAACAAGCCTCAGTGCAGCCTCTGTCAGGCCATTTACTGTTGTCCTTGAAGGTCTGGGAGCTCTGTAAATTCTGTAAATTATTAATGCAATAAGAAAAGCTTCCTCTCTATGTTTGCTTGCAGTATCTGCATAATATTTAAAATAGCACAGCTGCAAAATGCAAATAAAAAGTAATTTTAATTGTTTTTTAGTAATACTTATGATTTTATATATTNCTGCAAAATGCAAATAAAAAGTAATTTTAATTGTTTTTTAGTAATACTTATGATTTTATATATTAACTTTGGCTAACTATCTCTCTGTCTTCATCAGACATGCTGAGAACAGTCACAGTGACGTACCAAAGGCTAGTTAAGTGTTTTGTTTTCCTTTTTCATTTTTAGAATATGCAAAAGTTATGTAGATACAATATTATTCAAAAGGAACCCCCTGCCAGAATAACACAAATGAATAAAAAGTAAGAAAAAAGAAAGTGTTACCTCCCCTGGACGGATCGTACTTCCGGGACGGATCAGGTTGTGACAACACCTCCCTCAATTACTGATTGGTGGTGTGCAATACCTAACTAACTCTACTTCCTGTTTATCACCGCCGAGCCGACCATAACCTATGAGGACATTATAATTTGAATCTACTTGTTGACTGACTCCAGTGGATGAAAAATTTTTATTTTTTCAACATTTTAAATTTTAGCTTAAAAGTTTTGTGACATGGATGGAAACTAGTTGGCTGGTTTTGTTTTTAACTTTAACAGAGAAGTAGCACATATTAATCGTCTGCACCTTAAATCATAAAAAGTACCTAAGTGGTTAATTTCTCTTAGTAACTAGCTACTTTATTATTTTAAAAACTTCCCATTTTGACTGAGAAATATTGTTTACACTCAGAAAACACCTTCTTTCTCTTAAAGGACATTAGCCTTTGCTCTAAAATCAGGTTTTAGGGTTCGCCGCAGTTCGGTCAGATGAGCATACCCCATCAGACCAGCATACCCACAGTCAATACCCTTTTATCCCTTTAGTTTTGTATGAAAAAACACTTCAAACTATGTTGGTGAAGATTCTCAATCATCCATTCATTTTTTATATTTTTGGAATAGTTTAAACTACCTCAACGGGCGTGTATCCCTTCAGTGATGGTCAAAAAAAATCTTTAATTACTTACTTTTTGGTGTTTTATTTAAACATACGGCGATCTCAGCTTAAATTTTTTTTTTTTTACATGACTAAAGGGATGCAGGCTCATGAAACACAATACGAATACACATTGTGCATTAAACAAGCATCACACAACAACCATCATAAAGACTTCTATAATGTGGTTTTACTGGCTTTGGTTATTAACACGGACGTGACAGTGACTGCTGCTGAGTAACGTCCACACTCACCACATCACCAGGGTTGCCAGATGTCACAGACTCACGTTTTCCTGCCCAAAAAATGTTCATAAACCACCTGAATACACGAAATCTCACCCAATTTGAACCAAAGTCTATTGATCTCTTACGCCATAAATCTAAAAAAAAAATTTTTTTTACCCATAGATGGCCATCCTAAAATGCCAGATTGGGAAACGCCCCAACCTGGCAACAATGCATGTAAGACGGGGAAACGTTAGCCGTTAGATGCAAAACCCCATCATGCACTGCAACAGATCTTTGCAAAATATTCAAACATTAATTAGTTAAATAAAAGAGGAACATCATAGTTTTGTTTAAAGAAAGCATTTTAGTTTTATTATTATTTAGTTTGTTGCAAGGATTTTACAGTTTGAAGAAATAGAAAATGACACCATATGCCAACCGTCACAAGGATGTGCATGACAATGAAGGGCTATATATACTGCATGCATCACTTAGGTAGTTAACATTTTATAATTCTTGAGCTCCTTGAGTTATTTACTGTCACAGGTAGGTGCCTTGGCTGGGGCCAGTATGATTTAAGGAGGACCGGCCATCGCACGCTAAAATTAGGACCGGCCAACCGGGCAAATGCACATATTAGCAGTCCGAGCCTGGATAGCCGACCGTTAAGGTAGTTTAAAGTCTATTTTTTTGTACAAAACTAAAGAGATAAATGCAAATCTCATGTGTTGTGTATGCGTATTGACTATAGGTTTGCTGATCTGACCTGAAATGCTCATCTCACAGAACAGCACACCTTTTTATCCCTTTTGGAAACATCCTGCTTCAGACGTCTTTAAATTCCTCCTCCTCTTCTTCTTTTGCAGCTCGGTGTGTGGTTTTCCCTCGGATGTGCCTACTTCGCGCTGGAAGGCTATGAGGGAGCTGCTAGAGCTTTCCAGAGGTGTGTGGGACTGGAGCCAGATGTAAGTGCCTATTCTAACTCACACACATCACCCACATGTCTCTCTTATTGTCCATGTGAGCCATCAGCACTGCTGATTGAGCTCCTAAATACTTCAGGAGAATACCTTTTTTTTTCCCCATAAGAGTCTCTGCTGCGTCATGTAGTGTACAGCGGGTAACGAGGAGAGATCCGTCTCTCTTGACCATCTCCAAATCATAAGGTCGAGAGAAAATTAAACATGGCCGTCGTAAGGTGGTCGTAGGGATATCGCTCAGTGCGCAAACAAAGATTCTACTTCCTCCTCTCAGATGAAAACACAGAAGCATGGCGGGGGTGCAATGAGTGAAATGGAGTTCTTTCTGTAAAATTGACAGACCGTAGTAGCAACGTTTGCTCGGATTGAAAACATTGCACAGTGTATGCCCGGCTTAAGGTCTAGGATAGTATAAGATGCTGAGTTCCAGATTTAGGCTTATATTTGGTTACCCTGGTTACCTAGCCAATCAATCGGTAGATTAATATTCCAACTCCAGAGGGAAATGAATTACCAGAACTCCCTCGCTTCCTGGAGTGGTTTTGTGTGAAGTTACTCTTCTACTAATAAGCCCCATTTCCACTACCCCTCTGAAACCGATCGTGCAGAGTTCAGACCGAGCTTGGAACTGTTAACCGCTCTGACCTCGGTTTCTTACAACTGTTTAGACTCCAACCTAGCAAAGTGTCTCGCCTCCTAGTGATGATCTACAGTACTACTGCTTTTTAGAGGGAAACAAGCAAATCAAGATGGCGGCGCCTGTAACGTTGAGGAAGTTTGGGGAGAGTCAGGCGAAGAAGGCAGCCTGTGGTGAATTTACAGAGTCGGCTTTTGGGAAGTGGATACGACAAACGATAGTCTAATGAGGGCTTAGAGACGCAGGACTCATCCACAGACGTTGAGGTTCATCACACTGCTAAGCAGAATCATCACTGGAAATCATGTGGCTCGGTAGGGAAGCGAGGATTTTTAGGAATGTCTGAATTTCATGATTACGGAGGCGGACTGTAAGGGGATGACGTCGTCTGCTCAAGCGTTCTTTATCTGAGAACCGAGCCAGAATGGCATTTACACTCAACAGTTATCTTGGTTACCGTGCTTAGACCTATATTGACACAGTTTCAAAAGGGTTATGTAAACAGAGTAAGTTTTCCAGTCTGGTGTCTGTTAATAGTGCTTTAAACTCAGTACTGGTATTACCTAACCCTGCATTGATGCTTTGTATCTCCTCCCTGATCTCTGTTCTTTTACAGAATGCTGAAGCATGGAACAACCTTTCTACAGCTTACATTCGCCTCCAGATGAAGTGAGTATGTGGCCAGGCAGACACGTTTTAACTTGTTGGTGATCTTCAGGTGGTAATTCAAGTTTTATTCCTCAGAAAGAATCCATATGTTGCTGCTGCAGCATAGATGAAAAAAATCTATAGGATGAAACAAACAAAAAAGAAATAAACAGAAGGAAGAATAACAGAAAACTCTACCAACGTATCGTAACCTGAGGTTGTTTCATAGAGTTTCACTCTGACCATGTTTTTGTTCAACGAGTTGAACTCTGAGTTAAAGTGTGTTTGGTGCGTTCCCAGTTCCTGGCAGCTTGCAGAAGCAGTGTGGTATCACTCGCAGGATTCTAGCGGCTCCTATGAAAACAGCGATGGGTCCCAGCTGTTGTGTGGAGTCATGCCTGCTCGCTCAGCCTGTCCAAGCAGCTACAGGTTTCGTTGCTGCTTGGACAGGCTGAGCGATTGGGGCATGACAAGTCATTTGAAATTGGACATTGACTATTTGTTCCACTGTTTGGAGTGCTTGGTATTTTTTCTTCTACCGTTTGTCTGCTTATTATTGAAATTACTAATGTGTTTGCTTTTATTTTGATTTACTAATTTGTAGTGTTGCATTGATGCCATTTTTTTGGCACCAATACCTGGCTGTGCAGTATGATCGATACCGATATCATATCAATACATAAAACAAAACATATCAAATGTTTTAATATTGTGGTGGACTATTCTGTGTTCTGGTGCATCTTGCTTAAAAAGTTCCCCCCTTAGGGGTCTCACACACACACACACACACAGACACACACACACATATATATAAATAGTTTTGCCAAAACAATTTTTTCCACATCCCTACCACTCACTTAGAAAACCGGAGTCTTTTCACCCTGATTAACTTCATCTTAACCTAAAATCAGTTCAAATTGCCTGAAATATTTTTTCTAACCTGTGTCTCTGCTGTGCTCTTTTGTTGCTGCTTCCAGAAACAAAGCCTTCCGGACCCTGCAGGAGGCCCTGAAATGTAACTACGAACACTGGCAGATCTGGGAGAACTTCATCGTTGTCAGCACTGACATTGGGGAGTTTGCTGAAGCCATCAAGGCATACCACCGCCTCATGGATCTAAGGGAAAACTACAAAGACGTTCAGGTGAAAGTCTTTACCAACCCTTGTCTTCCTCTGCATCAGTGGATAAAGGAGAAGCTGCAGCGGAAGGATTTCAGATAGAGCTGCTGGGCAGAGTTATGATTCGCCCTATGATGATTATCAGCCAAACATTGATTATTCGTAACCAAATCAACCATTTTCTGTCTGCTTTGTGTTGCAAAGTCATCATGTTCAGTGATTGTATTCTGATTGGAGACAGATTCCTGTGATTCTGATGAATATTACGGAGCATTCAGCCAAAGCGACATTTTTCAAATTCACTCCTTTGCAGCAGACTGCAAAGATAAAAGTGGGACTAACACATAAAACCAAAAAAATCTGCAAACCATCTCTAAAAAACAGATTTCCTGCAGACCGCTAGGGGGAGGCGATCATACACCCGTATGGGAGCAGATTCTTGGTAAATACATAAATGATACGCTAACAGAGACTCTACAGAGTATCACTACCCGATCTGTCCCAGAAACACGATCCGTACCATCAGCTCATTTCCACAACCAGATGTACATCCGGGTCGCCCTCAATTTTATTTTGTAAAAAAGACCTAAATTATGTTTTCTCTCTCCCTAAAAACAATAAGTGTACTAAAATACAATCTGTTAAAGGTTAATATTGTATTTCCTAAACATCCTTTCTGTTTTATCAGTCTGTGCCCGATCTGTTCAGGAAAAGAGATCCTATGCTACGTCCAGGAGCTAACTTTTTCAGCTTTGGATTTAAACATAAATCTAGTCTTTTTGAGTTTATGTTTTCATTT